CTGCAAGGGTTCTGACCATTTCACAGGCTACTGTCAAAGCGACTCAGGAAAATGCCCCACCATACATATCAATAGTGTATAACCCCTACCCATCAACCACTCTTCTGCCTCTAAGTTGAAAGTAAAATAATTCCGGTCACCTAGGTCATACCCACACTTCAATTCCCCATGCTAGAAAAGGTGTGAAAGATGTGGTTGTTGGTCAGAAGAAAATAAAACAGATTTAAGAGGCAGTAGAAAACATTAATGAATCTGTAACAATAACAATTGTCTTCCATTTTTGTATAGAACTTTCCAGTTAACATAGTGTTTTCATCCAATTATCTGATTATATTCTCACCACAGCTCTGTGAGGTAGTTAGTGAAGATATTATTATTCCCACTGTATAGCTGAAGAACCTTAGGCTTAAGAGACTAAGTGGCTTGCCCAAAGTCACACAGCTAAGAAAGTGTGGAGCCAAGTATCCTGGTTTCTTGACTCCAATCCAGTGCTCTTCCCCCTATGTAGTCTATAATTGGCAGGCAATTTAATGAATTGCCCATGATCATATACCTGCTAAGTGCTGATGATGGGATTAGGATTCAGTCTGCAAAGCTGCGAGTATGGTGCCCTTCCACAAAACTAACTAGCAGAGCCAATGTGCTCAGAATGACTACCATGGAAGATGTCGGAGAAAAGTCTAGTTAGTTGATTACTCTTTTCTATGCCTATGTCTTCGTCCCTCCCGCTCGCCCTTCCCCAAGTAAACAATGCATCCATAAAAGTGGGATAATCTTACACAGAATCAAGTCACAAGTTTAAAACTCGGAACTCCTCCTCTATCCATCTACTGATTGCTCAATCATTGCTATCAAAGGCAGATGAAAAAGAGGTAAGCTGAGCAGAGCTGGTCTTAGTTCTGTCATTAAGTAAACATCTTTAATTTCCATCCTTTTGCCCACCTCATTCAGCAACTCAACTTTTCTAAACTCATGAACCACAAAATAAAATCCAATCTGATCTAGACTTGGGGAGCAGGAAAATAATGTATCTGGGCACTTTCTTGTGCTAGTTTGTTACCAGGAGCCCTGACCATGTGATTTCTCATCAGTGGGCTCAGCACGATGCTTCCAAGCCTTCCCACATCTTTTCTTGTGTGTCTCTCAATTCTTTAGCTTTGAGGACGGGGTGAGTGGGAGGGATATATGAAATGGGCAGCAATAAGGGAACTGGAAGGGGAATTGTGGCTGGAAGGCAGAGTTAAGACATTATTTTTAGTTCTCTGCTCATTAAATTGAAAATAGCTATTATTGCATCTTCAGTGGAAGAGGAAAAGAGAGCTTCCGGATCATAGCTTAAAACGTGACTCTTGAAAACAGTCCACTGAGTTTATGTAATGTGCCACAGAACCCAGTGTTCACTGTATACCATCCCCTGTCCATTTTTGCTGATGCTATAAATACTTGACTTAAGATGATATCTGCTTCGCTAAATACCTCTAAGACGCAGAAACATATAAAATTGTATTAATCCAGAATTCTTACTCTCCATCTGTCTCCCTTACCATGCCTAGAGAGGGCTGAGCACAACATATCCATGAAAAAAGGAAATATCTGCAAGCTCTTTTGTAAATTCTGAAGGGCTACCTTAAATTGACTGGAATAACCACTGGTGGCACAGTGGTTAAAGCGTTTGGCTGCTAACCCAAAGGTTGGCCATTCCAACCCACGAGCTGCTCCTTGGCAGAAAGACATGGCAGTCTGCTTCCACAAAGATTTACAGCCTTGAAAACTCTATGGGGCAGTTCTACTCAGTCCTATAGGCCGCCATGAGTTGGAATTGGCTTGATGGCAGTGGGTTCCTTAAATTGAAAGCATGCTGATACTTAGTGTCAGCTTTAAGTCTGAGTGTCTGAGATGTTCACATGCAGTTATTGGGAGCATGCTGGCTTCCCTAAGCTTACGCCCTGACAGGGCCACCCATCTGTATCTGGAAGACAAGCAGCTGTTCTTTCTGTCTGGTTTGTTAGCCTTCCCCGTGGGGAAACTGAAGCGGATAGGCACTGGAATGATTTCTGAGTTTTTACATGGAGATGGGCTTTTACTGTAAGATGAACTGCACACAGTGAGTGAGCTGCGTGTGCCCCTCCAGGCTAGTAATTCTCTATATAACCTAGGCCTGCAGCCACTCTGAAAGGGACAGGAAGTGGTACTGGGAGAGGGCGTCTCCCTCAATCAGTTGTCCAGATGTAGCCAAATACCTCATCACAGTATTTGGTACGCTATATGTACAAAATACGTATATATAACGTGTACTACAAGGACGGCATTTCATCCTGCTGATGAGGATGAAAGAGCGTCCACTTATACACTTTAAGTAGATGGGGAGACTGGTGCTAGAGCAGTTAAACTATTTCTAGGTTCTGATATTTATTTCTAAGAGTAATCTTGCATATATGCTATGAAATGCGGTGGCTGGTGACATAAGCCACAAACTCCAGGGAGCAATGTCATACTGGGCCTGCAGGAACTCTAGAAAGGGCATAGAAGCAGGGCTGGGGAGAGAGTGCCTCCCTTCAATCAGTTGTCCAGATGTAGCCAAATACCTAAAAGATATTTGGTAATGCACACACACACACACACACACACACACACACACACACACACACGTGCGTGCACTCACGAGATGTTTATTTACATGATGCCCTACAAAGATGAAAGGAAGGAAATTAATTATCTGATGAGAACAGAACAACTTTCATTATATACACTTTAGACAGATGGGAGATGCAGTGTTGGACTAATTATATGATTTCTAGACTTCCAAAATTGATCCCCTAAAAGTCATCTTCCACACTAACTGTTGGTGATGTGAGCTCGCAAGCCCAGGTGGGTGACTTTACATGGAACCTGGGTCTGCTCAACTCTAAAAGGGAAAGGGAGGTGCACCTGGGGAGCATCTCCCTTCCATCAGTTGTCCAGATGTTGCCGCATATCTCAATATAATATCTGGCAAAACTTAAATATAAAACAATTTTATAGACATTATGCACCACCATGATGGATGGTAAGGGACTAAAGACATGATCATGAAAGAGTGTCCATACATATATACACTCTGGGCACATGGGGCATGTAGTCCTGGGCTAATTAAATGATTTAGAGGCTCCCAGAAAATATAAGTTTATCTCCAACTAGTTATCTTCAATGTGTCAATACTCATGGAAATTTCACTTTTAAAACATGGGTAATGATAAGATAAAATGATTAGTAATAAATGTTTGATTTCATAGACTCGATTATATGTGACCCAACTATTTTTACAAGCTAAAAACAATGCTACATTTTGATAGTTCCATTACCTTGCTTTAACAGTATCAACAACTGTTTGTGTAGCAGAAATAGTCATGATGGAAATTCTGATTTGTTTTTCTTGGTTTCTGCCAGGATTGGTTAGCAACAGCTTTAACCCTAGTCCATGGTGCCGTGGGGCTGCACAGAACACTATGGAGGGTCCGAGATTTCTTAGAGCAAAGGCAAGAAAGAGAGTAAGTGAGAAAAGAAAAAAGGAAAAAGACTTATTGGAGGGGCATGTCAGAGACTCAAAACTTAGATAGGTTTACAGCACACCTAAAGGGTTGGAGAAAAAAGACCCAAAAGAAAAGTTCTTCCATTTGGTAACATGGTAACTAAAACATACGTATACCAAAAAAAAAAAAAAAAGCTGTATACATTTCAGCCAGTGGTATGCTGATGAATGTTTAATAACTACAACCTAAAACAACCAAAAATCATACCCTTGCCATCCAGTCGATTCTGGCTCATGACAACCCCATGTGTTACAGAGTAGAACTGCTTCATAGGATTTTCTTGGCTGCAATCTTTATGGAAGCAGTTATGCGGGCCTTTCTTCCACAGAACCACTGGGTGTATTCAAACCACCAACCTTTAGGTTAGCAGCTGATTGCAAACCACTTGCACTACCCAGATAATGAGGGGGAAAAGTCCTCATGTGTACTGTTTGCTAATTTCTGTGATATAAATATTCCCACCATGGCCAATTTCAACCTATCAACAAGGAGTTACTGACCATGGAGTTGGGTAGAAATGCACAGTAGGACACAATTACGTAGTATTTCTACCATACAGACACAATGGATGGAAATCATCTCAACAGTAAAATGCAATATTTTGAGTACTTACTACTTTTGTTTCTAATATTTATTTAATTGTAAGTTTACATAATTTAATTTTTAATAATGGCTGTGTGGAGCCCTGCTGGTACAGTGGTTAAGAGATTGGCTGCTAACCAAAAGGTCGGCAGTTTGAATCCACCAGCTGCTCCTTGGAAACCCTATGGGGCAGTTCTACCCTGTCCAATAGGGTCGCTATGAGTTGGAATCAACTTGATAGTAATGCATTTAGTGTTTAGGTTATCCCAAACAGAATATGTATGCTTTTATAAGCAAAATGGAATAATACATTCATTATTTTTCCCATTAACTTGTCTTACTGCTACCAAGCAACCTGGGAACACTCAGTTACTAAACAAATTTTAGATTGGGTCCACCTTCTGCTGGGTCAGCAATTTCTTTAGCTTAAGGGGTCACCAGCATGAGGGGTGTCATCTCTACCAAACCAAACCAAACCCGTAACCTCTGAGTCGATTCCAACCCATGGCAACCCTATAGGACAGACTGAAACTGCTCCATAGGGTTTCTAAGAAGCAGCCGGTGGATTCAAACTGCCGACCTTTTGGTTAACCACTGTGCCACCAGGGCCCCATGTCATCTTTACAAGGTTCATAATTACAGAGAAAAGAAGGAAAAAGAGAACAGGTAGGAAAGGAAGGAGGAAGGGGCAGGTGCCTAAGACAGTGTCCAAGTACCACCAACTACAGTCTCCAGCACTGACAGTTACCAAAGGCTGCAGTCAAGTGTTTCCCTCACTGATGTTGCACTGCTAGGTTAAAAGGTGAATGCACACTGAAATGCAATCACCTCAGTTGGACTTTCCCAGGCTTTGTTCTTGAGATGATAAACATCTGAATAAGTGATTTGCTAACGTCTAGATGGATCATACCATAAAGACAAAACACCTGCATAAAGCAACAAATGGTTGTAAAATTTTCCAAAGTAATGCAATCACATGCGTCAGACAACCCTGATGAAGGTGCAATTACTATTGTTTTATTTAAGAATGTCCCATTTCTAAAGACTCCCTCTTATTAAACTTTAAACATTTTTCTATCCTGTCTAGAAACCTTTAAAACAGCACTGTAAATAGTTATTCCTTAGAGTCACATTAAAGATTCAATTTATGTTGAATAGTCAGTAAAGGTAGATGTGTTAATTCATTTTGCTACCTGTGAGTCTGGCTTGAAGCCATATTGGTGGGTTAATACATACTGTATACTTATTTACTAATGCTGTGTTAAAGTATCCTAATGCTGTCTTGCTTTTATGAAGATAACACCACTGATCTTCAGTTAGTGAGGTATGTGCATTTAGTGATTTTTCTGGAACTAAGTGAGAATCTGTGGAAGTTGGTCACATTTTCTCACCCAGTGAAAGACTGGCAATACTAACTTCACACGTGGTACTTCTGACGTCTCTAGCCTAACTCAAATGTATACGTGTAAACAGAGACAGGCTGCTATCGTAATCACAGTTAAAAATACATTTTATATACTAAGTTTTCAGTGATTAAAAGAGTTCATGTAATAAAACAAGACAACCTGATATGAAAGTGGTTAAGATCATTTCCAATTGCCATCACTCACTAAACTCTGTATGAGCCCACTTATGCAAGCTGTCAGAGTTACCCACAATCAAATAAAACAATGGTATATATTAAAAATCCAAGATAAACAGTAGTGCTGAAAAAGAAAAACAATTAAATTATTAGCTGTGTGGTTAACGGAAATGAACAACCTTTAATGAAATGGTCTCGACGGGGAAGGAGAAGGTTTTGTTTTTCTCTAAATGGCCACGCCACAGCTGCCGTGGGGAAACTTCGCCTCTTCTTGTGGAAGTTTACCTCCGGTCTCCTTCAACTCGCTTCTTACGGACTAGATAAGAAAGATAAAGGTTGTTTTAAAAAAGGGGGGAGGCGGGTATTCCTTTAATTAATCTCACAAAATGGCAATCCCACACACTTGAAGATACACTGATCTTAAATTTCAGTACTCAACTACCCACGGCAATAAACGGAAATGATAAAATACTGTAACCCAGTGTCTGGTGGAATTTATGTTTTTTGGAATCTACATTTCAACAAAGGTATGTCTGATAGTTGGGAACTTGCGTTACAACTTTCCAATTTTCTTGGAGTAGAAGGTCCAGAATAAAACCATTAAAAGGGACTGAAATTTTCATTATTTTCCTGGTGATTTATCCACAGCAGATCTTCCTCTCAGCTTCTCTGCAACTCAATCACCAACTGGCTTTAACTCCCTTGGCTGATACAATCACAATCTGTTTAGTTCAGATTACAGTTTGAAAACAAGGAAGAGTTGCAAAAAAAGTTCAAAGTTTCTAAACTTATTTTAAATAAAAGCTTCTAAGTATCAATGTCCAAAGAAGGTGAGGTTTAGATAACTAGCAAATGCAGAGATTATTCTACAGGACAGAGGAGAACTGCTCCACAGTTTCCAAGGAGCAGCTGGTAGATTCCAGCTGCCAACCTTTTGGTTAGCAGCCATAGCTCTTAACCACTGTGCCACCAGGGCTCCAAACTCAGAGATTAAGGTTCCCTTAATTGATACTTAGTATCAAAGAAATTACCCAAAGGGAACCTTTTGAGTTTCCCAGTTTCTACAACCCTCCTCTTCCCCCTTTAAGCTCCTCCAGGTCTCTAGGAAGACAGCTACACTAACCTTCCTGGATCTGGCAACAAGGCACCTCAGTTCTACGGTCCTGCCCTAACTCTCTGCTTTAAACAGCCCAGTCTGCTCCTGCCTGGGCTGCGGGAAATTAGACAAAAGCTGTTGCCTGAAGCTGCCACTCTTGGACTTGTTTTGCCTATTTCCTTAGGTCTCCATATGCTCAGCTGTGGATCCGATGTGCCTTTCCTAGCCGCCTTCTGACCGCTGTCTCCACCCTTCCCCAAAACCCTATTTGCTGTGCTCCTCCTGGTCTCACCCTCTGCACCTCGCAGGTCAGCACTGCCAGCCCCTGTGCTGCCACATGCCACACCTTGGCCCAGGGCCTTGGCTAAGTGTGTCTGGGCAGGGGACTGGACACTAGCCTTTGTCCATCCCCTCTGGTTCTATCCCCAGCTTCTATCTCATCCCTCATTCAAACCCTTCTCGTGGCCAGCACTATACTTGGTGAAACACTTTACCCTTCTCTTGCCAGTTCCCCTGTCCAAGGCCTGGCATTCTGTCCCTGAACCTCAAACTGGGGACTGAGGCCTGACGTTGGCTGACTGCTTGCCAAGTAGACTGTCGGCTCCTGGATGTCCCTTTGCCATGCTGCTCTAGGTGGCTGGGATATTCCCAGACCAAGCCTTTCTAATCTGCTTCATTCTGCCGTGCTGTGATTGACCAGGACATGCTCCACCTCAATCAAACAGAAGAAAGAAACACCACAGATCCTCAGCAAGAAGTGGGCAGCAGAAAAAGTTAAAGAGGGGATAACTGAAAAAGCTTTGCAGCTAATCCTAAATTTAACCTTCGTAAGGTAGCTTCTATTATCTCACATGTAAGTTACCGAAGTATCAGATGGCATGCCTAAATTTAAACATAAGTATAAAAACACACTCAGAAGTCAAACATAAGTGAACTGGGCTCCATATCTCAACTTCTATCTTCTGGTGCTGAAAGTGATTATTTATAAGAAGTAAGTAAAGCAGAAGCAAATACACAAAGGAAATCAAGCAAAATCAAAGGCTGTCAGGAAAAAAGAACAAACAGTTCTTTTTTTGAGAGGATGTTAGCATGAAACTTTACACTGTGAATACCACAAAGCGTGCCTATGACCATGTGATAATGCACCTTTGATGAAGGGCCAAGTGAGACTGAAGGTCAGTGCAATGGTATGTTAAACGTTTTATGTGAAATGGTTATCACATTCTTCTAGCTGCTAACAGTATACCATTATGGCTGTATTACCCAGGTCATTATTCTTTGTGATGGCAGCTGCCACCCTCGTTCGAGGTCCTTGCTTGGTAAACTGGTATCCAAACTTGAGGATCCTTGAATTCTCCTCGAGCATCTGGGCAATTTCCATTTCTACGGCCGTTCCCAACTGCTGTCTCTGGTTTATGGACACGGAAACACACAGGATAACCAAGAAGGAAGAGGAAAGAGTTACTTGCATGGAAAGACACATGGCTACTTTTTGGACAAAAAGGTAAACAGGAAAAAGTCTCAAATTGAAAGGGACAAAGTCACCTGAGATGTCTTCTCCCATACAGTCATTTGAGTCCTGCTTTGTGTCTAGAAGCAAAATCCAGCAGACAGATAGCTGAATCTGCTGGCATTCTTAACTGAGAAACTAAGCAAATTATTTATGAAGGAAAGATGATTCCAGAGGCAAAATTAGAGCCAAAACAATATTTGGTGTTTCCAATTCACCCCAATATCTGTGATTTAAATAAAGAATGTTTTTAAATAGTGAAACTGTCTTACAGCAATCAATCCAGTTACTGAATTTTCTATTCTGGGATCCATATCTACAAATGATTAAAGATGATTAACTGGATGGTTGAGTCTCTCAGGAGAGTCTCACTATTGTTGTTGTGTGCCAGTGAGTCGATTCCGACTCATAGTGACCCTATAGGACAGACGGAGTGGCTAGTGGATTCAAACTGCTGACCTTTCGGTTAGCAGCAGCCAAGCTCTTAACCACTGTGCCACCAGCGCTCCAGAGTCTCACTAGGAGATCCCAAAGAGGCTTTGTTGTGGTTTAAATCATGCCCTTGGCCAGACGAATTATCAAACACTAAATGGGACTATTACAATAGATAAGTGGTAACTTTGGTGAAGGGTAAGACACTACACAATACTGGGAAAGCCAGCACAACGTGTCCAAGGCAAGATCATGGAAGCTCCACAGACACATCCAAACTCCCTGAGGGACCAAATTACTGGGCTGAGGGCTGTGGGGACCATGGTCTTGGGGAACATCTAGCTCAATTGGCGTAACATAATTTATAAAGAAAATATTCTACATTCTACTTTGGTGAGTAGCGTCTGGGGCCTTAAAAGCTTGTGACTGGCCATCTAAGATACTCCACTGGTCTCATCCCATCTGGAGCAAGGCAGAATGAAGAAAACCAAAGACACAAGGGAAAGATTAGTTGAAGGGATTAATGGACCACAACCACCACAAGCTGGGTCTAGCACAACTAGATAGTGCCTGGCTACCACCACTGACTGCTCTGACAGGGATCACAATAGACGGTCCCAGACAGAGCTGGAGAAAAATGTAGAACAAAATTCTAACTCACATACACAAAAAAAGAGCAGACTTACTGGTCTGACAAGAGACTGGAGAAACTCCGAGAGTATGGCCCCTGGAGACCCTTACAGCTCAGTAATGAAGTCACTCCTGAGGTTCAGCCTTCAGCCAAAGATTAGACAGCACCATAATACGAAATGAGACTAAATGAGCATACTAGCCCAGGGGCAAGAACTAGAAGGCAGGAGGGGGCAGGAAAGCTAGTAAGGTGGAACCCAAGGTCAAGAAGGGGAGAGTGTTGACATGTCATGGGGTTGGCAACCAATGTCACAAAGCAGTATGTTTGCTCTATAAACCTTGATCTAACGTACAGTTAAACAAATAAATAAAGGGAGCTACTACCCAACAGAAAAATCTCTAAGTTTTAAAATTTGGTAAGAAGAGTTTTTTTTTTTAAGTTGAGACACAGAATAACGAAAACAAAAAGAATTTTTTTTTTAAATGAGGGCATGTAAATATAGGAATTTAAGTTAAACTTAAGGGACATGGTATATTTTTTGTAATGTATTCCTAATTTTTTTTTTAAATAAAAAATACAGGCTTGTTTAGAAAAAGCAAACCAAAAAATATAAAAGTCCCCCCTCCCCCATTCACCAACATTCCCACTCTCCATAGAGAAAGCCAGTTTGGCATGTAGCATGCAGTCTTCTAAACATTTGGTATGCATTCATATAGCTATACAATCACATGTATATCTATGCTTTTTTCACATAAGTGGATCATACTAGAATGTTCTGAAACTTGTCTTTTATTTTCCATTTAACATTATATTGATATCTTTTCATGTTGGTAAATATATGTTTACCTCATCCTTCCAAACAACTGAACAGCATTCTATTGCAGTGATATATCATAATTTATTTAGCTAGGCGCTACTGATTTATATTACATTGATTTCCATTTTCCACTACTTCAAACAATGCTGCAGTGAACTTCCCCTGTATGCACAGTATATCCATGGGTATATCTGCAAGTGTGCCAGCAGGGCAAATTACGGCCAGGTCCAAGGATAAGCATGTTTCAAATTTGGATATATTACTGAATTGCCTTCAAAGATTGTGACAATTTATCCTCCTCTCAACAGTGTACGAAAGTTACAGTTATCCCTATCCTAGACAACATGGGGTATTATTAATCTTATTAATCTTTGTCAACCTAAAAGGTGAAAGATGTAGTCACTTGTATTTAATTGCTATAATTTGTATTTCTCAAATTATGAATAAGAACAATTAATTTTCTTTTGCTTATGGCTATCTTTTTTTGGAAATAATTGATCAACATCATTTGTTCATTTTTCCACCAGGTTTTTTATTACTCCTGCTTTATTATTATTATTGATTTGTAAATTCTTACATATAAGGAAATTAGCCCTTTGTCAAATGTGCTGAAAATATTTTTCTTAACTTTGTTTTCTGACTTTCTTTGTGATTACTATAAAGACTTTGTTTTCATTTTTACACAGTCAAACGCATCAGTCTCCTAGATTGTATGTCTTGTTTAGGAAGCCTCTCCACTCCTCCTGCTTTCTTCTATTTGTTCTATGATTTTATATATGTTAACATTTAAATCTTCATTTCATCTGGAGTGAATTTTAGTATAAGAAGATACTCAACTTTATTTTGTTCAGAAATGCTAGCAAGTTCTTCCCTCACTGATTTGAAATACCACTTCAGTGCAAAACCCTCCAGTGCATGCGGGTTTGTTTCTAGGCTACACTCTATTGCTCTTTCAGTCTATTTCTGTGCCAGCACTATGCAATTTTTACTACTTTATGTTTTAAAAAATAACATATCTTTTAAATTTGGAAACTTTAAGTATGGAGTAAATGAAGGAGAGGGGTGGAGGAACTTCTGTGCCCGGTGCAAGTTCTAAGGGTTAACTCTTTGTTCCTCTTTCTTTTAATCCAGCAATGTGTCAAACAAGTCTCTCCCCAACAGACTAACAAGATGTGGTATTTCCAGTCAGACAATAACAGTTTTGGGTATCCACAGTGTACAGACTAGTGTTCTAAGCACTGTGGGCATATGGGAGGGTGCAGCAGCAAAACAAGTAAGAGATACTGACCTCTGAGTTTCATGAGCAGCTTTCCCAAGTGACACACTTTAGAACAGTGCGACACTTCCAGACGGAACCTGAGCTAAGGCTGGGGGGAGCCAGAGATATGGCTTGTGCTCCTGGAGTGAGCCAAGGCGGTGCCATCCAAGGGGAGAGGGGCTCACAGCGGTTATGAGGGAGGACATAAAAATCTCTTTACTTCCCCTCACAAATCTCAAGTTCCTTGGACTTGGGTAACTTGCTGGTTAATGTTACATTTTCAAGGGTTGATGTAATGATCAAAAGTTACCCTAACGCCTATATTCCCAAATTTCTGAGTCCCATATCTCTAAGCAGCTGGCTGTTTTCTCAATAGTTTAAATTTCAGTCAGGTTTCTTATAGTTGCTGTGTTTTGCATTCACACTTACTCCTCGATTTGAACATATTATTTATATAGACATCAACTGTAATTTTTTAAGGAGTTTTCTGATTTTGTAATGAATCTTGGATGACATTTAGGCAAAGCAGTAAAATAAAAACGAAACCTCCTCCTTTATAATGTTAACTGCATAAACTGTTCACATAATCTAGTATAGAAAAATAGGAAATATGAATACTAGAATGATAGTTTTCATTGGGGAAGGATGGCATGCTGATGGCTGTATAAAGAATCTAGGAGCTTCAGAAAATTACACTGGGACAGAGGCATATAAAAGAAGGTGATAAAGTAATATAACACGGGAAATGTCTCTTTTGCAGGCTAGTTCTTTTTTTGATTTGAGGTCTTTTGTGCTGCATAAACCCAGGACAACAAATGGGCACCACAATTCCTTATGATTGGGATATATTGTTTTTATTTTAAGTCATTAAACACAAAAATTAAATAAACCTGGAAACAAAAGTTTAAGTATACATTTCTTAAAATTGCCTTCTATTTTTTTTTAAGTGACTACTTTTCCCTACTCAAATTCACTCAGCTGTTAACCATCGTTTTATTATTATGCTTCACTGATGGCTCTTCTCTTGGGAACACCAGACTCAGTCATCACACACTAACCTGGAGCCTGGTACAGCAGGTCTTCATTTTGATGCAGCTGCCCGCTGCTGTGATGCTAAATTGGTCTAGGCTGTGGGCCCTGCCTGAGGCACTGACTTAGAGGTCATTTCAAACCCTTCATTATACAGATGAGGAAACTGAGAGCTACTTCTAACAGTTTATGAGTCAATGCACAAAATTTGGGTGGAGGACAAGTTTTGAATCAATTTCCTCATTCTTGGAGTAAAGCAAAGATTTTTTCCAGTTGCTCTAGGAAGACTTAATCCTCCTTGTCACAAGTAAAGTCATTTTAGAGGCTCAGTGGGGGACAAAAGTTGAAAATGACACAAATACTTTCCTAGATGCTGGGGAGGCATGACGAGTAGGTGACTCAGAGGAGATTTAAGAGAAAAGTACAGACTTTGTATTTCAGGGTCTTCTTCATATGCATTAAAAAGAACTGGTCTCTTCTAAATTTTTAGGACTCCAGTTCATTCATTAGGTATAGGGTTGGTTGACAGATGTAGCAAATAAAAATACTGTAAAAGTAACCCAGTTAAATTTGAATTTTAGATAAATTTTTTTTAAGTATAATTATATCCCAAATATTGCCTGGGACATACTTACACTAAGAAAAATTCATTGTTTATGTAAAATTCAATTTTAACTGTCTTTTATCTGGCAACCCTAATTACGTGGTATCTTGCAGGAAATTAGAAACAGACTATCACAGATGTTTTTCAGATATAGGGTTCCAAACTGGCCTAAACCAACACAAAAAGGTAAATATACTTTGTACCAGGTATCCATTTCCATCTTTGGCCTCTCTGGAAATATTTACCAAGAGTCTACTTAACTTCTTCCCTATTGATCTATCAGTAAGTATCCCTGAGCTATGGCTTCTTTTCACTCACTCCGTATTTCCCTCTGGCTTACTGTCCTGTTCTCCCACTCCCTGATGCCTCTCTCTTGGTTTACTAGCAGCTGGACACACACCAGGGTGCATGGCCTTCCATGTTCCCTGAGTGTATGCCACCTCTGGGACACTGCCACATCCCCTGAGGCGCTGCCCTCCATACCTCTTCATGTGGGAAGCTGTTTCAGTGAAGCATCCCTTCTGGGGAGGGGTGAGAAGGAAGGAGGGCCTGTCTCCTGTGGGGTTTCCCTGAATGAGCTCCAGGAGGAGCCCAGCGGCAGAGGGGCTGCACTGAAACAGCCTACTTGCCCTGGTCCCCAAGGACGAGAGCAGAGCACCCACGGGGAACTGTTGGGGTCTCTGTCCTGGGTAGGGCACTGAGGCTTTACCAGATCTTAGAGGGTCTGGACCAGGCAGACAGGGATGCTCTGAACAGTCACTACCACTCTCCTCCCATCACCCCACGGGGGACACTTAGCACAAGCCTCCTTGCTCTCTCCTCTTTCTGGGCCATCCAGGGCCCCTTCTCCCCACTATACAGCATCTAGACCCCTCAGACCCCTGCGTCCCTGTCACAGACACTTCCCCTAACCCAAGGAGCAGGGCAAGCACCACAGCTCGTAAGAGTGTGGCTATCTTTGGGCAGGAGCCAGTGGAGCCGCAGGGCACTGCAGGCTGCTGCCAGGGAATGGTGGCTCTAGGGACAAGCAGCTTGCTTTAGCTGTTGGCTGGGAACCTGAGAAGTGCTGGAACAGAGTCAAGATTCTGACCATACTATGGGTGAGGCCTGCTGCCCTAAGCCAGATGTCCAGCTCCAACTCCTATAAAGAGACTCCCTGTTGGCAGCACCAGGCTGCAGGAGCCCAGGGCTGCTTCTGGCTCTCGAAGACTCCAACAGGGATAAGAAGTCTGAGTCTCTAGGCAGGGCCGCCTGCTTTTTCCTTCTAGCCATGGTCCCAGCAAAAGGCCAGGACAGAAAGAGCTGAGGGTTACTCTCAGAATCAACAACGACAGCTGGACAGAGCAGTGTCAGCACATCCCCCATCACCTCCTTTCATTCTCCCCTGGAGCCTGACTGGCCTGGGGCTAGGGGCACAGCAAGCTCTTTATTTCTCAGGCTGTCCCACTGTGCCATGTTAAATTACTAACAGGCTCTCCCACACACCCCCTACAGGCCTGAGCAGTTATAACTCACAGAAAAGCCAAGATGTGCAGTAGAGTCTCAGAGCTTTGTCTTCTAACTCACTGCGCGTGGCGTCACGCGTCCTCTGAGAGGCGGCTCTGCCCCCTCTCCCTTACCTGGTTATCAATCTTGATCTCAGTCAGGGTGTCGTTTTCTCTCAGTGCCTCCACCAGGGCCAGAATCCCAGTGCCAGTGATAAAATTGGATTCTATGTTGAGACTTTTCAAGGTCTTGTTTACTTTCAGCATATCTGCAAAAGCCTTATTATGTAAAAAGAAACAACAGTTTCTGAAGATTTCTTTGATAAACTCCCTGCCCCAAAATTAAGTACAGATATTTTTTACAGTACTTGAATAAAGAAAACCTTAGTTAAGATCATGTTTTCACTTCTAAGTAATAAAGATAATAATTTAAATCTGAAATAAAAATAGCTTAGTCAAGCTGTCCCAGGCTTATGAATTTCTCATACCTGCAAAAAAAAACAAAAAAACATGGACATAGGGAATAGCCAACTTTTCATTTTGTTAAGCAGAGACATTTAAAATACCCACGACCAACTGTTATCTTTTTTGAGAAAAGGCATTTTACCTTTAAGGAAAAAGAAGAAAGTACATAATCTCAAAATAACATTTTTTTTTTTTTTTTTACTATGAATGGATAAAAATCTCTACCATCGATTAACATTTGGGCACTATAGGTTTAGTCACGTTATTTCAGGTCATCTATAAACCATAATTCTTCAAAGATAACTTTTGGAACAAAACCACAACTCAGAGTGGCAAGCCCCCTGGAGATGGCTAGTTCAAGACAGGAGACTGCACATATGCCCTGCCTGCTTCCCCTCACCCCCAGTCTCCACTGAAATGAAGAAAATACCTAATTTTTAAAAGACCAGAACTCTAACAGTGCAAGAAAAAAAGAGTGCCATTATCTTGAGAAGCTGCTGAAATACAGAAACTAGAAAGATTTTGGTGGAGAAATTAACACAAGGAAAGTCACTCCCGAGATGCCGGTGCTAAGTCCTGTTTAGGGCATTTCATTAAAGCACTGCCTGAGGAACAGATGGAATAACTAGGGCAGATGGAGAGCACAGCACCCCTTCCTGTAGCTTGCCCTAAAAACAGCAACTGTAGACAGAACTATAGTGAAAAATCTCCCTGGAAGAGCCTCAAGTGAGGGTACTAGGACCTGAGAGAAGCAGCACAGAAACAAAGGTATTTCCAGACCTTCACACCAGATGCATCAAAACCAGTCGCTGCCGAGTTGACTCCGACTCATGGAGACCCCAGGCGTGTCAGAGTAGAACTGTGCTCCATAGGGTTTTCAATGGCTGACTTTTCAGAAGTGGACCGCAAGGCCTTTCTTCCGAGATGCCTCTGGGTGGACTGGAACCTCCAAACTTCCAGTTAACAGCCAAGTGCGTTAACTGTTTGTACCAACCAGGGACTCCACGTCAGTTGCCATCAAGTCGGTTCTGATTCATGAAGACGCCATGTGTGTCAGAGTAGAACTGTGCAGCGTAGAGTTTTCAATGGCTGATTTTTTGGAAGTAGATCACCATCAGATACAGTGGAGGGGGAAAGAAGGGGAAACGCAGCTTTGCCTAAGAATAAAGTATATGGAAATGTACCACGGCCAGAATGAAACTCTCCTATTGTGGGGGACTCCCAGGCTGCCTACCAGTGCCTCATACACACACTATAGAGAAAGCTGCCTGTCAATTCACCTGCCTGCTAACAAAAGCATTCATCTACCCATTCATTCATTCAAAAAAACTCTCCTATTGAGCCTGTACTATATGCCAGCAGTAAGGGAAACAAACAAAAATCCTTGTCCTCAGGGAGCATATATTCTAGCAGAGTCAATACATTAATAATAAATAAAATATATAGCCTGTCAGATGGTGGCAAATGGAGAAAAATAAAAGGACCTCTCTCTTAAAGGAGAGGTCTCTTGGTGAAGCAGACCTACACAACTGCAAAGGAAATGATGGTGGTTTAAACAAACTAACACTGTTTGTAAAAGTCGTGTGGGGGTGGCATCTGACCTCCTCTAACTTCTCAAGGCAGGAGGAGAATCAAGATCCACAGCCCAAGGCTGAGCCCTCTGAGACGGAGGTCAGACATACCTCCTCCCTCCAACCTTTTAGCAATTCTGACACCAACCGTCCCTCCCACAGCACTCTCTACTCCTCTACTGAGTTTGATAATTCATTGCAATGGCCACATAGAACTGACAGACCACACTCACAGTTATAGGGTTTATTACAGAAGTAATAGGTTACAATTCAGGATTAGGAAGGATTCAGGATACAGTTCTTCAGTGAGGACAGCCTCTTTTCTCAGCTGTACCTGCAGGCAGGCCTCTCTGGCCCTCAGCTGCTCAGTCCCTCAGCCTGGCCTCTGCCCTGCACGGGCAAGTGTTACAAAGCTCTTTAGCTCCGCCAGTAAGTGTCTGTAGGCAACCCACTCTGCCAGGAAGCCTCAGCCTGACGGCACTCAGCTCTCTTGATCCATGGGTCAGCAAGCCTAGCTCCTCCAAGTGCTTGGAGGCATCTCACTCCGCCAGCAGGCCTCCTGCCTCAAGGCGCTCAGCTCTCTCGTTCTGTGAGCCAGGAAACCCACTGTGTCGTCCTTTTGGTCTCTGGTTCTGCTGCCTCTGCTGCTGCCATTTCTCTGCTGTGGCTACTTGCTGTCCTGTGCTGTCTCCGGTGTTACAGCTCTGTGTCTCTGGGGTCTAGAAGGTTCTCAGTGCAGGGATCCTGGGTCCGAAGGATGTGCTTTGCTCTCGGCTCTTCTTTTCTGGTGGTAGTGAGGTCCCCCTCTGCTCTGGGATTGGCTCTCTTTTAAGCCTAGTGAGATGGCAAAACTGACCAATCCCCTCGTTAGGGTTCCATACAGCTTATTTGCGTAGCCACACCTCCCCACAGGGTTCCATGCATCTTATTTGCATTAGCAGCAAGCTGTCCAATCCCCTTGGTGGGCCATAAGTACCTTATTTGCATAGTCCTACCCAATCATTGTGTGGAAGTCACAAAGACTATGGTGAGAAGGGCCATATTAAGTAATTCACTGCACCACAGGCCTCCATTCATAAATACAAATGGGCAACCACGAATTGCCAGGCTTATTAGGAAAACCAACATCATGAACAGGACAAGCCAAGTTGACCATACAGAACAATTTGCCTTAGGAGGAACAGAGATTGTCCAGGGCAACGAAACAAATATAAAAATTCTAATTATTATTCTTAACAAAAAAAGAAAAGGTATCATTTCTTTTTGTATCCATAAAATATTTTTGGATTTATTGTTTTGTATCCACAAAATAAATAATAGCTACTATGAAAAAAGAAGAATAAGAACAAGAAAGAGTTCTTGAATATTAAAACACTACACTGAAATGAAAAACACACACACACAACAAATAATGCACATACAGAATTATGAGATGGCTGAAGAACAAGCTGGTGACCTAGAAGACAAGGTTGAGCGTATTTCTAAGAACATAGACTAAAAAGACAAATAAATAGAAAATATGAAAGATATGCTTAGAGATATGGAGGAAAGATGCACAGGTTTAACACTCCTCTAATTTGTAGTCCAGAAAGCAGAGGAGGAGACAACAAAAGGAAAGAAATGATGAAATAATTAAGCGGGAAATTTTTCTGGAGCTGAAGAAAGTTACAAGTTTTATCTGAAAGAACTCACTGAATGCTTAACAGAATGAATAAGAAAGATTCATAAGTAGATATGTACATGTGAAATTTCAGAACTTCAAGGGAAAAGAGAGTGTTCTAAAAATTCTAGCCAGAAAAAATAAAATACCTACAAAGGAACAAGAATCTGACCAGTATGAGTTACTAGATTGTGAAGCCCAAGAGAACAGAGATTTATGTATTTATAAAATCATATAATTGTAAATGGTGGCAGCAGGTTTTTAATTATTTAGTATCAACCTATATACAAAATGTGGAATATAACTGCATGAAATGTAGAAGGCTCAAACGTGTGGAAACACCAGAGTAAGTACAATTGGGAGGTAGAAAAGGAAGGAGGGAGGGAAGGCAGAGCAAGGACAAAATGCCCTCATCTTTTATTTAAAAAAAACAAAAAACAAAAAAGATGAGGGCAGTTTTACACTCACCCCTGGTGGCACAGTGGCTAAAAGCTTGGCTGCTAACTAAAAGATCGGCAGTTTGAATCCACCAGCTGCTCCCTGGAAACCCTGTGGGGCAGTTATACTCTGTCCTAAGGGATCACTATGACTTGGAATCGACTCGACGGCAATGGGTTTGTGGGGTTTGTTTATCTTTTATAATGGGGAGTCAAAAATCATCTAAGATGATGAATTGGAAAAAAAATGTATAAAAATGATTTTCCACCCTGGCTTTGTACTAGAATGACCTGGGGGAGGTTTAAAAAATATACCAACTCTGCTCCCCGCCCCCAGAGGAATCAAACTCTCTGAGGCTGTGGCCTGGACATCTGCAGTTTTAAAATCTCTCCACGTGACTTATATGCAGTCAGGACTGACAGTCACTTTAATTAAAGTCATAAAGACAACAATTAGAAGAATGAAAAACAAACTGCTCCAAGAAACCCCTTCCAGGAAGTGGAACGAGGAACTTCTAAATGATTTTAATTGTTGTTACAGAGGAAAACAGGGAGGAGGGAGGAGAAGAAATCCAAGGAGGGACTAGAGCAGGGTTTCTCAACCTTGGCACTGTTGACATTTTGGGTCAGCTAACTCTTTGTTGTGGCAACAGCAGCATCCCTGACCTCTACCCACTAAATGCCAGTAGCACCCTTCCTGGTAGCAACAACAAAAAATGTCGCCAGACATTGTCAAATATCCCCGGGGGCGGGGAGGATTCTCAAAATGACCACCAGTCGAGAATCACTGGAACAGAATAATCCTGTGTATTAGTCAGGCAATTGCCAAGAAAGCTCAGCACCTGGACTGAAATTAGTGTATGCCATGTAAATTAAAGTGTACTTATTCAGTGCTAAGTCTTCCATTAAAATAAAATGTACACATTTTAATTACAACACCAGAGAAGAATGCATCAGGCCTTTCTTCATGGACTCCCCAACCTTAAAGAGATTTACCTTCATTATTAGAATAAGACGACATCAGAGCGGTTAGGCCTTCACAAAACAGTTGTAGGGCCTACTGGGAAGTAGCCAGGATCTTGCCAATTTATTTTAAACTGAAGGAAATTACTTTTCTTATCCTGAACCAAAAGAGGGGAAACTCAG